TTAGTTTACTCGACTAACTCGGAACTGTGTAACGGTTGTTCCAGTATTCTATAACTGTATTAAGGTCTTTAGATTCACCCAGTGTGAAATTCACTTAGAACACCGACAATGACGTTCTTTTATTTGACGAGGTAATTATCTTCTCTGAGACACAGCCTGTCTGGCCACTTTCGTATTAGTATAGCTTTAGTCGAAGGAAACATCGCTTGTATTCGTCAGTTACAGATTTTATGATTTATCAATAAATATCATTAATGAAATAATCTATTTAATTATACCTATTAGTGAAATGCCACTAAATTAAAACATTTCCATTTCAGAAGCTATTATTGTATCAAAGTAATAATGAAATTTGAAATAGTTTAAAGGTGTATTCAGTAGTATCCCAGCTCTCCATTTTGTGCACCAGATTTTTTATAATATTTACTGGAAACTTATACCAAAATTTATTTCTAATGTCTAGCTGGCGATGTTGCTATTATTATTAATAATCACCAGTACTTATAAAAAAGTTGTTAATTAAGATAATTAAATGGCTATGTTTTCACAGTGATATTGTCCCCATTATTTATTGTGCCAAAAATTTATCATTATTACCTAAATACTAATTTACAATTTACATTGCATACAAAAACTTAATCAAAGATTTTATAGACCTCTGAAATTATTACATCCAAATTGCCACATTTTAAATTAAGATGTGACTCCCACGTTCAGAAAATTAAAGATCTGGTGCATGCAAATCGCCGATTGACTGTCAGAGACTGTCTCACCATGAAATTTTTACTGAAATATTGAACATGAATCGAGTTGCAGCAAACTTTGTTCTTCCTTTGATGACCAAACAACAGAAAGAAAATCATATGGACGTTTGTCAGCAACTCCTTGAACAGTCTAATGACTATGAATCATTCATTCAAAGGATCATCACATCCCAAGAAAGCACACCAGTCTGAATCCAATGTCAAAGTAATGCTCACAGTATTTTTTTGACTTTATCGGAATTATGCATTTTGAATTCTTGCCTCATGGTCAAACAGTGAACCGTATATGCTATCAAGGCATTTTACAGCGGTTACGTGAAAAAATTAGCAAAAATAGACCAGCCTTGTGGCGAGACAACTAATGGTTTTTGTATCATGATAATGCGCCTGCACGCTCAGCGTTGCCAATTCGTAGTTTTGTACTAAAAATCAAATTTCTGTCCTCCCTCACCCTCCTTACTTGCCAGACCTGGCTCCTTGTGATTTTTTCTTATTTCCTAAATTAAAATCAGTGCTGAAAGGACGAATTTTTCAGATTATTGATGATATCAAAGCAAATTCGTCACAAATCTTAAAGGCCATTTCAAATGAAGCTACCGATCTAGGACTGCTTCGCGAAATGTTAACACCGCTGGGAAAAGTGTGTGAATAGGGGAGGGGAGTAATTTGAAGGAAGCAAGGACTAATAATGTATAAAATTAATAATAAAGTTAAAAGAAAATAAAGTTTGGTTATTTTTTTAACAGTCCTCATACCTGTATATGGTAAGCAAGCAATAGATATCTAGAAATACATTAAAAATAAATATATCGTATATTTATACATTTCGTAAACTCGTTATTGGCTTAAATGAACCATAATTTAATTTGGGTTTAAGGTAATAAAAATACAAAGGAAATTCCTAGCTATTATCATTAATGTTACAGAGATAGCTCAGACGATTATTACACTTCTAGATATAATTAACGTTTTTGGTTTCCAAATTATGTAAGAAAGTCCACTGTTTATATTAAAGCTATACCTACTGCTTTATCAAAGATATAAAATATGGTAAGATTGAAGAAAAAATATTTTATATCATGATTATTCTAAAAAAATGGCGTTATGGTACAACTCACTTGCAAATCAAATGAAAATCAGAGTGAAAAATTCTTGGCATTTGATTTAAAAAAAAAAGCTGAATTAGACTTGTTGAATTCATATCTATAATGTAATTTTAAAAATCAAAGTTATGACTAAAGTTACTCCCGATTACTTCCATTCTGTTCAAGGAAAGTAGGTAACGGATGGTAGTATTCAATTTGGTAAGGGTAAAATTCCAATTGTAGCAATTTTTATCTAATTCAAAATAATTAGGAACAAAATTATTATAAATTACAATGTAAAACGTCACGTTACCATGAAGAATTAGGTACTTCAGAACTAACTTCCTCCCTCTTACAAGAAAAATACTTTCTTGTTCATGAATAGTCAAATTCAAAATTATTAACACACCTACGCCAACTCAACGATTTCCGGAACATAACTCGTTCAACGCACTGGATATCCTCTCCATAATATTTTAAGTAGCTTATGTTATACGGTTGAAAGGACAAAAAAATTACAGGTACGTTCAGTCAATATTACATCGCAATACAGCAATTAAATATCTATCTACATTCTTTGCAAATCTATGGACATCAATTCCACTCTGCGTTTCCTTTCATTGCAAAACACCGACACACCATATCGAACTGTTTATTATTACAGCACTGCAATACACATTGTGTCGCGTTTGAAAATCGAGTAACCTTTGCATTTTATGAGGCAATTGTTTCCGATACGACAATCTCTATTTGACATTTAACAATAGTGCGATGAAAATAGTGTTTAAATATTTTTTAACGTTGATATTCATAAAATTTCAGTTGTGACTGTTATAGATTTTGTTCTTTAATTTTTTCTATGAAAAATGGTAACTTTATTAATACCGAGAATAATACGTTATGCAAAACCAACAGTTCAACCAATAATTTAACATAAACAACTCTGCTAATCGACAGAAATTAAAAAAAATATATAGCCGACGAAAACATGTGTGACGCTACCTTTATAGCACTTTTCAATTATTAATTTTTGGATTATTTAATGCAGTTGCTTCGAAAAAACAATATTTGAGTGAATATATCGATAATAACTTATTATAACCTGCATACACAATAGTTATTTACATCATAAAGGAGGTAAATATTATATACCGGTTGAGGACGATTTTGTGCCCGAGCGGAGCGAGGGCTGGCAATAAAGTCCGAGACTGGTAAATTATACTTAACTGCTGCGTGGTGTATAACATTGTATCTACTTCCACAGTTCTTTATGGTTCATGAAGTCACCTTAGTTGTTTGGATTTCGTCGTTTCTAAGGTGTTTATAAACAAAACTATATAAAAGTTGCAATTTTGCTGGTTTTGAATTATTAGAAATAATAATTATTAACGAGTGATTTTCAAATAGAAAGTGCAGCAAATTCTGCCTGCGAATTTTTATTGCCCGAGAAGTCGAAAGTGCACTACGGACGAGCACATAGAAAATTCAAAGAATGGTGCCAGAACAGAAATACTGATGTTTCTGAAATGTTACTGCTAGCATATTTCATGGAGAAGTCAAAAACTTTAGGTGGTAGTGACGGTCTTAGGCATTGCAGGAGCATGCCGTTCTGATGAATTGTGCAAACTTACTTTGGACGTCAATTTCAAAAATTTTGATGACATTATTGTAGTTACAATTCCATATTCTAAAAATGGTATGTCACGTACGTTTACAATTATTTCTCGTTTAGGTTATGTTTCTTACCTAGAAATTCTCAAGAAATATATCAAGATTAGATTGAAAATTAAAACTGAAATTTCACGCTTTTTTAGCACGGTAGATATTACAACCAACCAGTCGGGTAAGAATACCCTTTCTATGATTCCTAATAAGATTGCACAGTTTTTGAAACTGAAACATCCTGAAACATATACAGGCCATTCATACAAAAGTTAATGTATTAGCAATCAAGAGACATGGTGGGTGGATGTCAGTCACAATTGCAGAAAGTTATGTTGATGACAGTTTAAGTAACAAAAATGAAATAGCCGACAGGATTCTTTACAATGACACTTCAGTAAATGTTACTAGATGTAATAACTGTACAATTCCTATAAATATTCATTCATAATAATTAATAAAATGTAATGTTTACCAAATATTTCTATTTGTTCATTTACTATGCATTTATAACTCGAAATCACTTTTTTGCCTTGGGAGGTAAGTTACCTCACTTATCATAGCAACTTCCACTTCTACGGTAAAATCCACTTACCTCCTTAAAAACAATGTATTAATAGTCTATATTTACTATAGTGGCAGCAGATAAAATAATTTTTACATTGCTTTCAACTACTGGAAAAATCTTAACTTATATAAACAATATGTTCGTACTCAATATTCCAATGTCTTTGACTGTTAGGCATTATTTTTGATAGATATTTTGGTTATTGGTTAAATATTTGCCAACAAATCGTCATCTTATAAAACAATACTATCTTCATATCCAAGTTTTGCGGCTTCCGCTGTCATTGTCTATGTGTTCAGCCTATCTGGCGCCACCGTCTTCAGAGTCACATCATTGTCACTAATTCCAAGAATTGCACTTTGTTGCAAATCCGTTTCCTATAGGAAATTTAACCGGCGACGGTTTGAGGTGTTATTCACACCTCCAGTAATTGAAAACAATTAATGTCAGTTGTTTCTGTTGCAGATTTGATAATATTGGTGAAGGGAATATGTAATTCAAAAGTCAATCAATGCAATATGTGACTAAATGGTTGTGAAGCTCCAATGTCGTCAACAAAAGTTCCATCGCTTATTTTGTAAACATTTATCTTATTTTCGCAAACATTAACACAAATTGTTTATAGAAATGCTGCAATGCACTGTGCGCCAAAAACTTTAAACAATATGTAAGTTTACAGTAGAAGTTTACTTGGGAAAAAGGCAGTATTATAAATATTACACTTAAAATTGTCAATTGAGTTTAGTATAATTTTCTTTATTATTTGTAAAACTTTCACTGTAATTTTTATACATCATGTATAGTAAAAAAAACGTGTAAGAAATTTGCAGAAACTTTTTCTAAAAAAAAATATTTCTTTTGTAATATGGTTCCGCACAACTAAAAATTTGAAGAGGGAGTCACGTGCAAAAAGGAACTCACCGTGTGGCGTTTCAAAATATCCCCACATCGGAATGCCAACGGCAGCGGCGCCCACCACGAAGCAGATAAATCCTAAAATTGCGACACATGTTGAATACAGGGGTTTGGTTTCCGCCATATCACAAACACAACATCATAAACAAATATCACAATATCACAACAGGACAAGCAACATAAACAGCACAAATATAGCGCATGGCCCTCAACAACACATGTCACGAATCGATTCGTAAACGTTGTTTACATAAAAGACACGTCTTGGCCGAAGAAAATCCAATTCGCGAGGTCGACACAGTATTCCTGCTACGTGGGCACCTTTCCCGGACGAGTTCACATTTTCCTGAAAATTGTTTTTTCCCGGGGCCGCAGGGTTTGCGCGAATTTTTCTGTACCTCTTTATGGCAGCGCCAGACTGGACGTTGCTATGTATTTACGGGGTTCGAACTAAGTCAACTAAAGTTGTTACTACCTTGCTGAGGTGTGCCGCCGCGTATCATGGGTAGGGGAATTGTGGATTGTCGACGGCGAAGTCGACGAATAGTACTTTCAGTTTGCTTAAACTGCGATTTGCTGTTTGACCGGTGCTGTGACTTTGTGCAACTGTTTCGGCGGTCTGGGCCACAGATGGAAAATTATGGATTTTCTCTAGTTACGTGCTCATTTATTTATGGTTCGCGGAAAAATCGATATTGCGGCGACGTTTTGCTGGAAGGTCATGCACACATAATGTCAATTTCACTGGAACCATAATATCACAAAAATAAATGAAACTTTAGAAGACCGGTTAGAACAATCAGTTTATGTGGCGTTACAGACTACTGAAGTAAAATATTCAAATATTTGTTAATTATACGAGTTCTGAATATACCGGGTGGGGCATTTATCTTGAGATAAAATAATATCTCGATTGGACTCGATTATTTCGAAAAAAGCTTCAGACAAAAATTGTAGGGCACCCATAGGCTATTAAAAGGGCCATATTACTTCCGGTCTAGACCGCAAGTGGTGTTTTTAGACCGACAGTTGACTTTTTTAAATATAAACACCCATTTTTATCACCGATTTCGATTAAAAAACTAAAAATAAACATTTTGTTTATATTATTTTTTCGATTTAACCCATATTTTGGCCATAAAATGGCCATAAAAAAAAACAAGAATCTTGAGACAACGGAGTATCTTGTTGGGATCATTTAAAAAAAATGTTTCATACAAAAGTTGCAGGGTGAAAAGGGGGTTATCTTGACATTACCTTAAAAATGACCTTGACTTTGACTTCAAGATCGTTTGAAGATCAAAATCAAAATTTTAAATGAGACCCTCTTTTTAAACCTCGGAAATTACAAGAACGGGAAGTTTTACTTTAAGATATGAACTTAACCTCAAGAACCCGATGATGAGAGACGAGGGGACTCAACGAAGACAAGCACCCTGGATAATAATTAATAATTATACAATTTTCGATCTTAAAATGACCTTGACATCTGGGCTTGTTCTTGAGGTTAAGTTCATATTGTAAAACTTCCAGCTTTCGCAATTTTCGAGGTAAAAAAAGAGGGTCCCATTTAAAATTTTGAATTTGATCCTCAAACGACCTTGAAGTCAAGATCAACGTCATTTTCAAGGTCATGTCAAGATAGCTCCTTTTCACCCTACAACTTTTGCATGAAACATTTTTTTTTAAAAGTCGTCCCAACAAGGTATCCCATTGTCTCTAGATTCTTGTTTTTTTCTGTTTTTTTATAGCCAAAATATAGGTTAAATCAAAAAAATAATAAGAACAAAAAATTTTTTTTTAGTTTTTCAGTCGAAATCTATGAGTGTTTCCATTTAAATAAATCAACATCCGGTCTAAAAACACCCCTTCCGGTACAGACCAGAAGTGGTATGGGCTTTTCAATGGCGTCCTCGATGCCCTACATTTTTTGTCTGAAACTTTTTTCGAAATAATCCAGTCCAACCGAGATATTATTTTGTCTCAAGATAAATACCCCACCCGGTATAGTATAGTATTGCATTCACATAGATACCGGGTGTCTTGTAAAAAACGCTACAAGCTATAACTTCACCATTCTTAGTCCAATCAATTGCTTTTTCAAAAGGAACGATATATGTTTTTTCTGTTTAATCTGTCTGGTGCATACTTATTTCCTAAAACCAAGGATATATGGTAACCCGATTTTTCGATGCATTGGATACATGATTTTTCGTTAATTTCATAACATTAAATTTAATGTAGAAGTTTAAAGGCAGAAATATATACGTGTTCTCACGTATGTGATAATACAGGGTGGGTTCTTGAAAGCTAAACAGAACGAATAACTCTCAGGCAAATTATTTTTCCGAAAAACGCCGAGACAGGTAGATTTTTTATCGAAGAGGGACGTGTTTTCACATAAATTTCTTGTTACAGTCTCTACCCCCCTAGCGAGGGGGCAACCCCCCAAAAGTCTTAATAGGGAAGGAGGGTTAAGTGACACATCGTTTGAGAGGTAGGTATTCTAATTCTCTTCACATTTTTTGAATTTGATAGATTAGTTTCGGAGATATAAGTTGTTAATAGAAAAACTACTTGTTACAAATTTTACAAAAAATAAAACACGGTTGTGTGGAGAATTAGAATACCTTCCAAACGATGTGTCACTTAACCCTTCTTTCCTGTTAAGATTTTTGGGGATTGCCTCCGTCCCTAGGGGGGCAATAGATGTGAAAAGATATCCCCCTTCGATAAAACCTGTCTCGGTGTTTTTCGAGGAAAGAATTTTCCTTAGCGATATTCGCTCTGTTTGTACCGTTATTTTATTTTATTTTACTTTGCGCCATTCAATAGGCGAAAGCAAAAGGAATATGAAAAGGAAAACTAAAAATTACAATAGACAATATCAAGACGTACAGAAATAAACAGAAAATCAAATCTACAAACAAAAATGTAAATGCAACAGTGAACATAAGTTCACAGTTGCATAAGGTGTTCAGTAAAATACAGAATATAAGAGTTAAAAAACAAAACAAAAATGTTATTTTGTTTCTTGTCTCGAATTAGCAAGTAAGTTGTTGAGGCTACATTATTAAAGATTCTACACGTAATACATAAAGAAGAATAATATTTTTTATTAGATCTGGTGTTGTTAGCAAGGAAATCACAATATCTGCCGAAAGACCGCTTTGGGAACATAAAAGTTGATTTTATTTATATATCTCTGCAATCAATTTGGTTATTTAACAGCTTGAATAAAAATACCAAGCAAGCAATGCTTCTCCTGTATTCTAGAGATAAAAAAAATTGCAACAGATCAGATTGAAGATAATCAGTCTTACGATATATTTCATCCATTTCAAAAACCAGAAATTTAAGAAAACGCCGTTAACGCCATTCCACACGGTAAATATATCGTGTAGCAAGGACACTAAATTACAGAGGCATATTATAACCTTAATCTTACTAACGTGATGTATAGTAGTTTTCATGCATATTCAAATAGAAAGCAAGTATTTACAAGTACTTCTAATAATGAATCCAATGGTGGTACACGCCTTGAGAATAATATTAATGATATATTACTGAAAGATAGTTTATTGTCAAATACCACAAATCGCAAAAAGTTTCTGGTTGCTGTAGGTAATTATTGTTAATATGATAGTTATACTTGACTATTTTAACAGCCTTAAAACTGATCCCTGAGTTACTCCAGGGTATGATTTTCTACCATTATTTCACCATCACTATACAAAAGCAATATACATTGATATAATTTATAAATAAATTATATAGTAATAGCCTTAAAACTGTTCTTTGAGAGACTCCAGAGTAACAAAATAGATAGGACTGAATATCTCCGTAAAAGTATAGAGAACAAATATTTCACATAAATGCCAAATATTATTTTGGAATATGTATTTTTACAAAGGTATTCTATGACTAAAAAACACAAAGTAAATGATTCCAAAAATATTTTTAATATAATAATAAAACGTAAAACTGTACGTAAGTGTAAAACGTCTGTTTTATATTACTTGTAATTTGGCCAGTCATTCTTATACACGAGATACGAGACAAAATATCGTAACTTCTGTTTTTTATTTCTTTCTCTTCATTTCCGTATGCGGTTTCATTTATCGGATACCCGTTATGAAAGATACCACAAGTTCACACCGATAATATTCCATTTGCATGCTTTGCTTATAGTAAACACTGATACTGAAAGAATCCCTAGAACCTTTGATGATTTATGAATATTTATCTATATAATAGAATACCAGAAAATATTTGGGACATAGCTCGTTCGTTAATAAATTGTTATAACAAGTTCTCAGCTTTTAGAATAAAAAACAGTAATTATAACAACAAACCATCAACTGCATAAAAGACTAACAACTGCAATAACTAAAAGTTAAATATTATAGAGAAAACAGGTGGCAAGCTTGTAAAATGTAATTAGAATTAGCTTATAATCTTTAATATGGCCAATAAATTAGAAGCAATTCTGCAATGTATTGAAGCTAGACGATTGACTACAATTTTTTACTTAAAATGGGTTCAAGTTATAATAGAAAGTAATTTGAATGTGAAAATCTTAAATACTTTTTCCCGTTTATATTTACGTTTTAGTATTACGTTTGCACTTCCTTGTAGAAAATTGAATTTAATATATTGCCTTTACTATTAGAAGGATACAAGTTTCCTGTGATTTTCCTATTAATTTAAAACAACGAAGAATGCTTTTTGTTATGGAATGACCTTATTATGTTTGAAAGACTTTCCCATCGTTATCGATAATTGAACTTTGCATCTCATATTTAATGAGATTTATAATTTGCAGTTTGAAATTGAAGAATTCCTTTATTAGAGGCAAAATTGCACATCTCCATATTTCCTGGGTCAGATTTTATCTAAATTTATATTATTACCAGACACTCAAGTCAAAAATTGTTTGCATGTTGTCTTTGAAGTATTAACTTTGATAAAGTACGTACTTTATATTTAGCGACATTAAGTCGACAAACTTTAAGGAGATATTCCTCATAAAAAAATAAGAAAAAATCAAGTATACATTTTTTTCCAGAGACGCTTCATTTTCGAAATATAGGGCGTTAAAGATTTTTAAAAAAATTCGAATTTTTTAAATAACTTCTAAATGAAGAAGGCTATTTAAGCCAAATTCGGCATGACACATATTCTTATAAGATACCATTTTTCCATAGAAGTAGAAGTCCCGCAAACAACCAGTGGCGGAGTTATGGGGTCTCAGACTCATTAAATTATAAAAAAAATTAATACAGCCCCACTGAAAATAAATAATAATGCTTTTTTTTAAATAGAATAGTTTGTTATTGACAAAAAGTGTACATTAACTTTTTTTCCTAACTCTTATAGTTTCATGGCAAAATTGATTTTTCGGAAGGGGGCTTCTGGATTCTGTTGATAAACTTTAAAATGAACCTCGACAAAAGTTTTCGAGTAGGCTGCTGTGAAGCAATGTTAATTTGACGTTTTAAATGTTATTTTGCGAATTG